GTATTATACACAGATTATTGCTAATTAGATTTTTTTATGCTGTTTAAGTTAAAAATTTTTGGATTGCATCACACTCGAGCTCGTATTATACTGTACATGAATAAATATGGTAACTGATTTTTAGCCTTTCTGTGTTTCAATGTTTTTAAACTACAAAGTTGTTGTTTCGCGTCATCTTTAATATTCCCTCAGTAATAAATCTGTTGATTAATCCTGCAGTTGCTCACTGATGTCATCAGCTCATTATCATTTTCTGAGCTCTGAACATCTGCCCGGCTCTGATGCTCTGCAGCTTGGTGGCTCAGAGGGGCATCAGAGGCGGGCTCGCTTTACTCGCCTTTCCACCTTCGTGTTTTTTCTGAACGCTCGGCGGACAGAACACACGTCAGTCTGAACCGTCTTATGAGTGAGTCTATGGTTTGGTTAACTTGGACTGGAGTCAGTCTAAACAAGAAAAAATGACCTTCAACATGAGTCCTTATGATGCTTTTCTTTTTGTTTTCTAATGCTAATATAATCGACACTGACACATCAGTTATGCTAAGCTTCAATTAAAAGTACAACTCCACTTAATGGCGACTAAAACATTGTTTGACTCATAAAAGTAGAGAATAAGTACGTGATGAGCTAATCAAAGACCTCGGTCCAAATGTGCATCAGCTTTTAAGTATTTATTTTAAATGATGTGATGAGTGTAGCCATTTACCTCACTGAGCTCGTGCTGCCTCTGCATCTTTGTCTCAAAAGCTGACTTCATCTGAGTCAGCTGTTCATACTGTCAACACAACAGACAGAAAACACGTCATCAGGAACCGCACAATGGTGGGAATGTGTTTGTTATGCTTGTACTAAAGAAATGTTGTAAGAGCTGACCTTGTAGAGCATCTCTTGTCTCTTTCCCTCCAGCTGTGGCTCCATCTGCAGGTTTTTTCCTACGAATGAGCAGAAGATTTACAAGTTTTAATCAACGCGTGACTGACAGAGGCCTGCTGTTCAGGGCACGACACAAGAGAAACTTACTCGCCATCTCCACTATACTTGTGATGAACTCTTCTTTATCACTGGCAACTTGTTTGAGTTGTGGCAAACCCGCAAAGAACTCCAGCAGCACAACCTCGTTTTCAGACATCTCTGACAACTGAGTCAAACTACAAACAGGGAGGAAGAAAACCACATAAGAGCTGGAGAATCACATCCAACATTTAAAACAATAATTCTGATAAACCCTCATCATCAGTGCTTTGCACTATGACTTCATAAAAAATACCAACGACGTGTTAAAACTGATATATGAGGTACTTTACTTCATGTCACAGAGTTCAGGAAAAGACTCGGGAATCTCGGGCATCTTGTACACGTGTCCATTCAGCCCCGCCTGGAAGAGACAGAAATAAAACAGCTGACTTACACTGGAACAGTTCATTTACAGCTGATTTATCTGGAATATAACCAAGAAAAGCAAAGTGCAAAAAAAAAATTACATTACTTTCAAACAAACAGGTCGATAATCATGAGTGACACAGAAAATCTCTGAAAATGTTTCTTTTTTCATTTATTATTCTGGAGCATTCTGATGCACACTGAGCCAAAAATAACAACTTGACCCAGTTTCTCCAAAGATGTTTTACAGCCCCAATTCCAATAAAGTTGGAACGTTGTGTAAAACAAACAAACAAACAAAATACAATGATGATTTAAAGTTCAAACGTATAAACTTTGCTTTTTTCTTTTGCAAAAATTTACTCATTTTGAATTTCATGCCTGCAACATGTTCCTAAAAAGCTGTGACGGGGCAACAAAAGACTGGGGAAGGTAATGAATGCTCAAAAATAATTCTACAGGCGAACAGGTTAATTGGAAACAGGTGAGCGTCATGATTAGGTATAATGGGAGCATCCATGAAAGGCTCAGTTGTTCACAAGGGAGTCTGTGGTGAGGTTCACCACTTTGTGAACACCTGCGTATTCAAATAGTCCAACTGTTTCTGAATGTTTCTTAATATACTACTGTTATTAGAATTTAGGCATCTGTGGTCCATAATATCATCAAAAGATTTATAGAATCTGGACAAATCTCTGCAAGTAAGCAGCAAAGCTGCAAACCAATGATGAATGTCTGCGACCTGCGATCCCTGAAGCAGCACTGCATTAAAAACCCACATCATTCTGTAACTGACATCACCACATGGGCCCATGAAGACTTCAGAAAACCACTACCAGTGAACACAGATCTTTGTTACATCTACAAGTACAAGTTAAATCTCTACCATGCAGAGCCAAAGCCACTATGTCAACGACACCCAGAAATGTTGCTGGCTTCTCTGAGCTCATCTGAGATGGACTGACACAGAGTGAAAGTGTCCTGTGGTCTGATGAGTCCACATTTCAAACTGTTTTTGGAAAACATGGACGTGGTGTCCTCTGGGCCAAAGAGGAAAAGGACTGTCTGAACCGTTTTCAGCTCAAAGTTCAAACGTCAGCCTCTCTGATGGTATAGGGGTGTGTTAGTGCCCATAGCATGAGTAACTTGCACATCTGTGAAGGCTCCATTAATACTGAAAGCTACATACAGGTTTTAGAGCAACATGTGCTGCCATCCAAGCCACGTCTTTTTCAGGGACGTCCTGCTTATTTCAGCAGGACAATGCCAAGCCACATTCTGCACGTGTTACAGCAGTGTGGCTTCGTAGTAAAATACTAGACCTCCAGTCATGGCCTGTCTTCCAGTGAAGATGTGTGGAGCATTATGAAGCACAAAATACGACAACACAGACTCTGGACTATTGAGCAACTGAAGTTATTCCTCAAGCACGGATGGGAAAGAATTTCATCTACAAAGCTTTAATAATTACAGTATGTCCTCATTTCCTAAACACTTATTGATTGCTGTTAAAAGGAAAAGTAATGAAACACAGTGATAAACATACACTGTCCCAGCTTTTATGGAACATGTTGCAAGAATCAAATTTAGGGTGTATTCAGACAAGGAAAGTCCTTTGGTCCACTTGTTTGGTCCAGACCAAAAGTGGACTTTATTTATTTATTTATTTATTTATTTATTTCATTTGGTGAGGTTTGCATTCACATTGTGCTTTTTTGCAAACAAACTATAACTTGTAAACAAAGCCACAGGGTGATGATCATTGCTCCCATTGGACAGAAAGGACGGGGGCGGGACTAAGCGCACAGACACAGAAGAAAACAAGGAAGTCCTGCATGCTGCGGTTCTGATGTGCACATTTTTGCTGATAGTACAACTGTAATAGCATTTAAAATGTCAGAAGCAGCTAATTTAATGGTGGTTTTGTGATGATATTCTAATTTTGGAGCCACGTCAGTAAATGTGTCCCGCGACCCAAAGGAGACGAGGTGCTCTGCGTGTTCTGACCCACAACATGCTGCCAGCAGAGCTGCTAACAGGAGACGACGAAACAGGTAGGATTTCAGTTTATTTAGCTCAGCAATGGTGGCCCGTGAAGTCCAAAAAGGTGCATGTTTTATGCAATTGGTTCGGTTAGAGTCCGGTCTGTATTCACACCAGAAGCGAACTGAAGTGAACCGCACCAGAGTTTGTTTGGAAGCGGACCGAGACCACCTCAAAAAGCAGGTCTCGGTCCGGTTGTTTGATCCGCACCAGAGTTCGCATGAGTGTATTCACACCTGCACAAAAGGTCCGGACCAACGCTGGAAACAAACTCTGGTTCGTTTGAAGTGGGAGCAAATTGTCAGGTCTGAATACGACCTTAAAATGGGTGAATATTTGCAACAAAAACAATGAAGTTTATCTGTTTGAACACTAAATATCTTTTCTTTGTAGTGTTTTCAGTTGAATATAGGTTGAAATGAATTATATTCATTTTTATTTTAGTTTTACACAACGTCCTAACTTCATTGGAATTGGGGTTGTAGTTAATTCAAAACTAGTTCTTTTTCATCTACGTAAAAATCCAGCTGTGGGCCAGGAAAACTGGTGCTGCTGTCGGACAAATTCCTCTTTGTTATCACTTATGTCAAATGCAGAGCCAGTGTAGCATCTAATTTGCATAATTCAAAATGAAGCAACAAAAGACATACAGTCGCTTCCATATGAAACTAAAGCAAGGATAGAATAAAATAAAAACAGCCTTGACACGCAAGGAGAAATTCAGGTGCAATATGTATATAATATGACACAAACACCATCCTATAACAAACATTTGATGGGCTGGCAAATCACTGCACTGTTAGTAGTTGCGACTCTAACAAATCCTGACAAACACAACCTTATAGTACGCTACAGTTTGAAGCCACAGTTGAACCCAGGCAGAAGAACAAGCAAGGCTTACTAAATCAAAATTTTAAACTAAAAAAAACCCCGATTTTAAAAATTAACCAAGTTATGCAATGCATGCATGAACTATGTGTTTTTGTCTTTCATTTTAAAAGGTTCATAATGTGGAAGAAATACTTGGTCCGTCAGTGGTGCAGTCCTTGAGAGGCATTATCAATTATGTCTAGTTTGTTGAATTTAACACACTGAACTTCATTTTTGTCTTACTGAGGACATTTTTTCATAATGCCTAATTAGGAAAGAGCTACAGTAAAAAGATTATTTATGTTTCTTTGTTTCCAAGAAAGGACTTGACCAATGTACTAGTGTCCAATCATAATAAGCAGTTTACCTGTGAGTCTCCAGTCGGGATGGGTACTGGCAGGTCAGTTATCAGTCCGTATGCAGGAGCTCGAGGGGGTCCGTGAGCCATGTCAACCCCTGGGTGAGGCATGGGGGCGGGTGACGGAGCTGGACCGGAACCTGGAGGCGGCGTTGGACTGGGACCAACATGGCGAGGACCATAATGGAAAGCCTGGGAGGGATAAGGAGGGATGCCTGATGGCTTGTACATACTGCTGTAGGAGGAAAATAAAAACATCAAATACATCTCAACATATCTAATATATGCAGAAAAATATATCAACAACTTATTAAAAACCTCCAGCAAACGATTGTAAATAAAAATAAAGGCTTGCTGATCATACTGGACGATTAACAAAAAACACTCACAAAGGAAAGCCTGCAGTTCCAGAGGACATCAAGGCAGGAGGACTTTTCCAGAACTCATCCAGTAGACTCTGAATGACCTTACCCAGATCTGAGTGCATGCCAAACTATAACACACAAAGCAAGACAAACTAAACAGTCACAACGGGTTGTAAGTTATTATTATTATTACTATTATTTCTGCTTGGCCTTCAGAGGAGTCGGACGCTTTTTGCTCTCTCTCCCGAACCTGTCCATCCTCCCCTGCTTTGCAGCTTTTTTTCAAGCCTTTCCTCTACCTATCATCCGAAAACAAAAGGAATTATGGATTTAGTCAACTGGTCTCTGAACGCAATCAACACTATTGTTTCCACACTGAGATTGGAACGAGGGGAGAGCAGCTGTCCCAGTGGAATGGTGGTGGCAGGGTGAGTGTCTGGTTCTTGGGGGTGGAACCTCATCTGTTTGGCGCCGCTTTCCATTGAAAATGTGGAAGATTTGTATATATTTGGATTTATCATAACTGGATTCCTGCTGATCGGCTGTGGAGGAGTCCTGGTTTATCGGAAAATGAAAGTGATCCTGACAGCAGTTCGGTCCTGTGAGAAGCTGTCAGGAACCATGGATGGAGTCTCCCGTACTGGAAACGCACAGACTCTGATGTTGGGGCATATAAGTCGCAAACTGGATGTGATTCTGACGAGAATCACAGTTCAGCAGCGTGCCCGTGAGGAGTGACGCTACACCTGGGTGAAGTTTCAGACAGAAGAGATGCGAGGAGGTAATGAATTCGGAACATTGGCATTTTCGCCATCACAGAGATGCAGTTACAGACTTAAAGCAGAGAGAAAATCAGGCTGCTTGTCCCAAACAATTGTGTTTATCTTTTGGATCCCTGCAGCTGCTGATCTTGGCTCGGCAGTTATCAAACTCCCTGGATGACACATGAAACAAAGGCTTGATTCTCCATCCCCTTCCTGTATCATCCGTGGGTGGACCAGTCTGAAGGCCACGATGGGTGGAGACAGAGAACTGAACTCTGGTGATTTGTGCTTTGGTTGATAACAACTTGTTTTGGACTCTGGAGGTCTTTGATTGGTTCCAGCACGGAGTATTAACCTTAAGCATCACTGGCTCCACCCCACCCCATACCATGTGTTTGACCCCCAGACCCCTCCCTTCCTTAGCTGCCTTGCACTGAGCGAGTGTTTGTTTATTTTTTTAAGCGTTTGATTCTGTTTTTCTGTAAACATAGGATCAGAGCATCTTTTTTTAAACTCATCTTTCCTATTGTGTGTATTCCAAGCTGCAAAAGGTAGCGCGACCATTTTGCGAAAGACCTGAACATCCGTTCTCCCCAACGTTTGTTATGTGTGTAATAAGAATGGGTGTTCTTAACTGCAAGTTCCTAGTCTGTGTTTATCACTGACGATGGCAATAAAACTGTTCTATTTCATCCCTACTGACCGCCAGAGGGCGGTGCTAAAAGCACTGAATGTTCCCTTCGCGCAT